CCTAAAGATTTAAAATTGTCCACTACAGCTGGATATTTAGCTTTCTGTTGTCAATGTGACAATTTATTTCTTCTTAAATCCAGCAGAAAGTTATGGAAGATAATGAACTATAAATCAAACCGCGGGTAAATGCTATAAGTTTTGATTTTCACGTCTTTCTTAGTAGTTGTGAGTCCGAACTTGTACACGGATACTTAATCATATTATATTCTTAAAACTATTCGTTTAAAAAAACATTCCATTACATTCCAAACAAAATTATGGGTTGTGTCAACCATTGGGCTCGCCTAAGTGCCTCGATTAATTTTCATTATCCTCCCGGACACAGTATGGGGAAGCGGTCTTCAAGGATGCAAAAACTTGGGTTGTTCACCCACCATAAATATTCGCCATTCTATTTTAATATCACGTGAATAATAAAGGAAGAACGTAATTGAGAAATATGTGTTTGCCTATGATTTGTAGACATGGATATAATTCTACATGGCTCGTCAACTTATTGTTCCGATTATACATGTTGTGGTATTTAATATTTTAATGCTCATCAGTTAACATATCCGCTGTATTGTACATTCGTTTGTAAAACGACAGGGCACGTGATAACATATGTCATACGCGAACAACGACACCAAAATTACCTGACATTTGTTTATAGAACATGTTAGCGGCTTGATAGGCTTAAATTTGCTTGAACAATAAATCAGAATAGCTTCTCTGTCCATGGTTAGTATTACCTTCTGAAAGGAATGGGTCAGCGGACACAAGAAAGAGGGAGATTAAATCAGCGGTCCCCCTTTCTTATCTGCACAGGAAACGCACATATATATATATATATATATATATATGAAGACAATTTATTAAACATTTTTTGTTATGAATTCTGCTAACTTGCAGTCGCAAACATGTTCAAGTAGGCCTATAATAATCCGTGGCGTAACAGCCCGCTGAGATCCAAAGCCGACTAGCTGGCTGCTGGCCTCACGTTCACATGCCTAAGCAGAGGTGAACGATCATCCAACCAGATGTAGGGTGACGTGTGGTCAGCACGACGAACCCCATTGCTAGCTTTCCTGACCGGATTACGCTACTCATTGTAGCTCCCCAATTTCCTCACGATGCTGGGTTGGCACCGGTCCCATACACTTGTCGAAAGCTCATGAGAAAATTTCTTCTCCGCCGAGACTCGAACCAGCGCGCATTCCGTATCGCCGGTCCGAAGCATGACACCTCAGACCGCGCGGCTACGGCGCGGGACCAAGTAGGCTTATCATTAAGTTTTATTTTAACAATTTTTATTAAATTTATTAAATATTTACTGTCAATTATACAATAATTTAAGCTGATTTTTTTTTCATTTCAGGCCCACAGAGTGTTGCATGATTACAAAACTGAATTTGTTCTGCATAAAACATATCGACGGGCCGCACTTTGGGAATCCCTCTTTTAAACTTGGTAAGTAATGACGGAGACTTTTTACACTCTGTCTGACCTCAGTGTTCTTTTTATTTTGTTTGGATAGGAGTGGTCGATTTTAGAGTTGCTAAAACTTTTGATTGCTACCATAAGTTTAGGTTAGGTTAGGTTAAGTTAGTTGAATTCCTTGTTTTGTACATTTGGTCTCTGAACAAAATAATGCCTTCAGACAAACCACTAGCGTCTCACATCATTTGATGCTACGTACATAATCAGTGAGTTAAACGGGGTTCTTAAATAGATTACCATAAGACTGAGCCTTACTACAGAAATCAACGTATGGAAAGCCAAGAAGAGATGATAACAATAATGTGTACTTGTCGCAAGATATCTTCGAGCTTTGTTACTCGTTACAGATACGCACGGTGGGTAGCCAGTTTTGGTCCCGGGAGGGAGGGGCACGAGTAGCGCATAACTTGGGCCTTGCTTCCCGTCTACTGAGACGTAGCTCACGCTCGTAGATATTTTGCTTCAAGTTTAATAGACAGAGCATGTGGTCGTTTGTTAAAAGACGGTAGCTTCATTTTGCGGATAAAACCTGACGTGTAAAGCGATTTAATATTCTGTTGTGAATATAATGTATTGCATACAGTTTTGTTCTGTTATCTGATATACACACATTAAATGATGTCGGATACTTTGATATGAAACAACTTATTTATGAATTTGCTTTTGTGTAGCGGTTCATATCCAGTCAGATATTAACATTGGATTGAGCTACTGCCCCATCAGAACTGTCGTTAAGTTAAAACCACAATCGTTTATGAACTCGATACTTTTACTGAGGGTAAAATAAAATACAGAGTGGCATGTTGATTTTAATAATTGTATGCCTAAAATTTAATTAGTACACAAAATTTTGTGGCAGCCTAATGGGAATTAAAATTCGAAGAACTCCAACTTTAACTGGAACTCTTGTTTCTCCGAAATAACAAAACGTTGAATGATTGAAAAGCAGTATAATTTATTACGTCAAATTTCTATGTCAGTCAGATATGGCGGCAAGGCTCTGTCTGCATGGTTATTTATTTGTCGAAGAATTTAAGTTAATCGTAAAATTAAAACACTTAAGAACTGGGTCTGGGTAACTCAGTCAGTGAAGTGTCCGACTAAGGGTTGTACAACCGAGGTTCAAACCCCGGCAGGAACGAAAGATTTTTTTTTATCCGTTGCATCCGTTACACTGCTCTGGGACCCACCCAGCCTCCCATCGTATGAGTACAGGAGGTCCTTTACCGGGACATGACGCTGACTCTCGATGAAGGAAGTCAGGTGGACTTAAATGTCGTGACGAAGGTG